TCTTCTCTTTGCCTCCAGCCTTTGCTCTGATTCACATGTGGACTGAAAATGCTATTTCTCACACATTCCCATGAGAATACATTTATTGATATGCCTCCACATGTTTTTTTAGCTGGTTATTCATATCTTGGTGCATAAGACTACATAGACTTGCTAATGTTCTTTTGCATTTGTTGTGTCTAAAACCAAAGTAACAGTTCTGAAATATACTATCTGCTCTTTAATCTTCATCTTATATGTCAAGCAAGTAATAACACTTAACTTTTAGGTTAGAATGAGAGTTTTAACTGAGCCAAAACAGCACTTGTTTCATTGTGGGGATTTTATGTGCATTTTTTATTGTTATTAGACATCAGGGAAGACTTAAAGGTTTCTAGATGTTGAATCTGAATGTTTAATTCTAAGCTTTTTTTGGCTGAAGCAAATCGAGGCATTCAGAAATTCAACATCCATCATAAATATATTCACAGATCTGCCTTTGGTACAAGATTCTTGTCTGATCTCCTCTGCACTGCGTTTTCAGTTGTAACCCTGGATGGGTTTGAAGGGGGTGAATATCTGCTGTATCTGGTGCCCTGAGTTTTTGTGCAAGGATGGAGCATTGCAACAGACATAAGCATGGCTGTGGAAACCACAGTGCACACAGCTTCTTTTTAGCCAGTCCCCTCAAAACAGAAGAACAATCCAGCTCCTAAATATATGGGGTTCGGTGGTGGATTCTTTTGTTTTGCCGTTGTTTGGAAATCATGGTGACAAGTAGGTCAAGTGCTTCAAATACGATAATGAGATACTTTTCTGGATCTTTGTAGTTAGCTCTGCAAAGGGTGAAGGGAAATTATGCCAGAAGGCATACATGTAGTTATTGGTAGAGGCAGCAGCAATTGGCATCCTCAGCTGACTGAAGGTAAAATGCAGCTTGTTTACAGTGAAACGAGAAATGCTATGGAGATGAGCCATAAAGGCCTTTCTTATATGTGTTCCTTTTCCTAAGTACTCCATTCAGTGCTTTCGAGGAGCTGTTCTTATCTTGAAAACACAGAATACTGTGTTATTAACAGCATCCTGTTAGTGCTATTAAAAAAATATCAGATGGCATTTCTTCTCCTCTTTTACCAGTTAAGCATAATGCTTAGATTCAGGCTTCTGTGTGTGCATGATGTAAGGTGCTCACATCAGTAGTATCCAGAACTCTTATGCTGTGTCAAACTTGACAAGACAAGGAAAACTGTGTTTTCTTGATCTGCTGTTGCTGGCTTTTCTGGCCTGGATGGGCTCACTAACCTTGTCCCCACTGAGCCTTCTCTTCTCCAGGCTGAACAGTCTCAGCTCTCTCAGCCCCTCATCATATGAAAGATGCTCCAGTCTCTAAATCATCCTTGTGGCTCTCTGCTAGAGTCCCTCCAGTAAGTCCATATCTTCCTTGTACTTGGGGAGCCCAACACTGGACACAGTATTGCAGATGTGGTCTTACCAGGGCTGAGTAAAGCCCTTGATCTGAGGGCTTATTTACCTGAGTAAATCACCTCCCTCGACCTTTTGGCAATGTTCTTCCTAATGCAGCCCCGGATGCTGTTGGCCACCTTTGTCCTGTGGGTGCATTGCTGGGTCATGGTCAGCTTGGGGTCCACCAGGATCCCAAGGTCCTCTCTAGAGCTGCTTTCCAGCTGGTGGGCTCCCAGCCTGTACTGGTGCTTGGGGTTATTCCTACCCAGATGCAGGACTTCGCATTTTTCCCTTGTTGAACTTCATGAGGTTTCCCTCATCCTAATTCTCCAGCCTGGTTAGGTCCCCCTGAATGGCAGCACAACCCTCCAGTGTATCAGCCACTCCACCCAGTTTTGCATTGTCTGCAAATTTGCTGAGGGTGCACTCTGTCCCAGTGTCAAGGCCATTAATGAAGAGGTAACAACCACTGGGGCACACCACTAGAGACTTGTGCCTTTGTGCCACCAACCACTTCCCCCTGGGACCTGCTGCTCAGACAGTTTTAAATCAATGTCACTGTGCACTTATCTAGCCCATACATCTTCAACTTGTCTATAAGAATATTTTAGGAGACCGTGCCAAAAGTCTTGAAGTTGAGTCACACAACATCCACTGCTCTCCCTGCTGCACAGAGCAGCACTAGTCACCACCTCAGTTACATGGTCACTGCTCAAGCCTACGTTATCACTAGCGGACATGCTGCAGTGACAGCATGAAACACTAAAAAAAAGCTCATGGAAATAAACTCAGTTAAACTTCTGGAGTGCACAGCTGTCCTCACTTAAAATGTGCTCCTTGTCTTCCACAGAAAATGCTTTTGTTCTTCTGGATGATGTCCAACTCTGGTATGCCTTGTTGAAGGCATGTGCCTTGATGGCTGTGCCTTGGCCTGCATCTCCATGGGCAGAGGCCCCAAGCAGCCACTTGAATCAGCAGTCTGCTCCAAAACTACCTCCTGTCCTCTGCCTTACATGTCAGTAACAAGCACGGTTTGATACACGCTCCTCTGAGTAGGTTCAGTTGTGAGCTTTTAATAAAATGTTTTTTCCCTAAAATCTTTTTATTTATTTTTTTTTTTTGAGGAAAATCTTTTGATGAGCACCTGAACACTGGGAAAATATCAGTTTACATCAAACACCAAAAAGCCCCACAAAAGCAACTGGCATGTGTTGATGTGTAGTTGGAAACCTCTTGTTCGGGATTTGTCATTTTCCTAACAAAAGCTGAACATTTTCTTAAGCTGCCACCCCCCTCCCACACACCTCCTCCCCAAAAAAACCCAAACTCCACAACATTCACTTGTTTTTTCCCTCTCTTTCCATCCAGCAGTGGACCAGGAAAGGTCATTCTGATGCTTTCTCTGCTGTGGGTTTGCTGTGTGACCTCACACTAAGGAAACCTGGGGAGCAGCTACCTGCCTGGTCCTGCTTTTCTGGAAGACTTCCAATTCTTGGGGAACACAGGCTAATGCAATTATATTGTTGCTCCTGCAGTGAATGCTCGTCCTTCATTTTTCCATCCAGCTGCTGATTAGCACCCTGTTCCTGGTGTGAGCGTGCCACCCAGCCGTGGGTACAACAAAGCTAAGAAGCAATGGGTGCGCATTGCCCTGACCTCCAGCTTTGACAGCTGCTTGCTCCTAAGGGGTATCCTGCCTTGGCCATTGCTCCAATAGCAAGCAGCACGAAGGCTCACGCGATCCTTCCAACGAAACTCTTGCCAGCAGCACTTATTTTTACTGCAAAAGTGGCTGTCTTGCTCCTCTGAGGAGGACCTCATCGCTGTGCTCTCCGTAGTCAGCATTGCTATTTTGCTGGGCCAGTGCACCCTGACCTGCCTGTCCCTGCATGATTAGCTTCTTGGAGATGGAGGTCCTTCTCCACAGCACCAAGCTTCCTGTGCTGTCAGCCTGGGAAAGCATGGGGAAATAGATATAGTGACTATGCCTTCTGTTTTTCACTTCTCACACAGCTGGGTGAAGATAAAATTTACATTAGATGTTAGGGAGCTGGAGGAAACACGTTCTACCTCCAGTACTGGCAGGGTGCTAGCACTGTCGGGCATGATCCCAGCTCTTCCCCCTGAAAAAAATAATAACCTGCAACCTTTTCTTTAAATACCAATGCCTGAACATGTCCCAGGACAGAAAAGTAACACGGCTCTAAACCTGCTTTTGCAGAAAGTTGCTGTGCCAGCATGGGGGAAACAGTGAATAGCAGCGTTAAGTAGAAATGTCTGTTGTTTAATCATCTTTAGATATGAGGACCTCCTAAAATTGAGTATCTCCGTCTTCCCTTGCAGTCTGCTCCATGGTTTCTCTCCCACCATACAGAGATATTGCCTCTAACTGGAACACAACTGCACTCTCACACCAGACCACCAGCAGCACTTGAGAGGACTAAGTAGGCAGTGCTGTTTAAGCAGATGTCCTCACCTGCCCTGTCCCTGGCCCTTCCTTGTCACCCCTGTGCTCCCCCCCTTATGGCAGTCTTGTGGTAAATCAGTCCACAAAGTTGACTCATTCTTGCCTGCCAAGTTCCTTATCTCCATTCCATGAACAGCTGCATAAAGTTGTGCCAATGTCAGTGACGGGGACATTGTGGTGGTGGGAACAAGCTGCTAGCAGTGGGCTGGGTAGGGGGGACTTTGAGGCCAGCTTCTTAGGGCACAAAATGCCCAAGGAGCAACAGCATTTTGTGACGTACAAATCCTGCTGATACAACCAACTACAGATCAAGGGGGAAGCTGGGATTTCTCCTGCTTTCATCTTTAGCTCTGGCTGCTGTAATACCTTTTTCCTTTCGAACCACACCCTTGACTTAAAAGAGGATTTTTGCCACCCACTCCAACAACAGCTGCCAGGACAGGCCTATTTTTGCCAGTGCTCTGCCACTTTGGGCACTTTAGCACACATGTTACTTCTTCATGTACATCAGGGGACACACATAGGAGCAAAAAGATGCAAACTTCACAAGGGTTTCTGAAGTAACACAGTCTTGTTCTGCCTAGAGCAGGTAGATTTAGGGAGACAAATATGTGCCACTTTCTGCATCTTTGTCCATGTGTTTCTGCACATGAAATGAGAAGTCATTGTGAGAAACACATTTTCCTGTTCATTTTCTCTTGCCCTTTCCACTTGCAGGAATCATAGCATGTAGAGGAAAAGCAGGATGCTCTACACGCTGGTGTTACAGCTTGTCAGTGGGATAACATGGGTTTTGTATCCTCGTACCAAGCTCCAGAAATACTCTGTGAAGAGAGAGCATCTTTCGGGGTCTCCCAGTGTTCCCATTCATCATGCTCAAACAGCAGCAGTAGGGATATGAAGAGACTTGTGTCAGAGACGTGTAACTCCGAAATAGTGGTAACATGGAAGAGACACAGCTGGTGACGCTGGAGCAGTGTCTCAGATCATTTGGCAAGGGAACAGGATGTGAGAAGGGTTTTGGGTAATCCTTTGGGGCAGGCTCACCAAGTGACAAAAAGATGAGTCTGTGGTCACTCTGCTGTCAGTTTTGCGTGCCTGCTGGGGAAGGACTGAAACAGAAAAGTCAGCTCTTATTTAGGGATGGAGGTAGAGAGAGAAAAGTTAGTGCAGTCTCTGAATTTGTTAGAACTTTTCTGCCCTACAAGGGCTTGGTATGTGGGGTTTTTTTGCAAAGGAGAATAATAGTTAAAAACTGATATATTAAAAAAAAATCCATAGAAAGGCAAGGAATCTTTTCCTGCCATTACCCTGGCCAGCAACTAAGTCCCCCCAGCTGCTCGCTCGCTTCCCCTGGTGGGATGGGGGAGAGAATTGGAAGGATAAAAGTGAGAAAACTCATGGGCTGAGATAAAGACAGTTTAATAGGTAAATCAAAAGCTGCTCATATAAGCAAAGCAAAGTAAGGAATAAAATTGCTAATTCCCATGGCAGGCAGGTGTTCAGCCATCTCCAGGAAAGCAGGGCTCCATCACGTGTAATGGTTACTTGGGAAGACAGACGCCATAACTCCAAATTTCCCCCTCCATCTTCCCCAGCTTTTATTGCTGAGCATAATGCCATATGGTGTGGGATATCCCTTTGGTTAGTGGGGATCAGCTGTCCCAGCTGCCTCCCCTCTCAACTTCTGGTGCACCCCCAGCCTACTCGCTGGTGCGGCAGGGTGAGAAACCAAAAAGGCCTTGACGCTGTGTAAGCACTGCTCAGCAATAACTAAAACATCGCTGTGTTATCAACAGTATTTTCAGCACAAATCCAAAACATAGCACCATACCAGCTACTATGAAGAAAATTAACTCTACCCCAGCCCAAACCAGCACATTCTCCACCCCTTATTCCCTACCGTTTATGTCACACTCAGGTCACACAGAATACATCCTTATTAACCACCACCCCTCTTCCCAGCCTGTTCAGCCATCTCCAGGAAAGCAGGGCTCCATCACGTGTAATGGTTACTTGGGAAGACAGACGCCATAACTCCAAATTTCCCCCTCCATCTTCCCCAGCTTTTATTGCTGAGCATAATGCCATATGGTGTGGGATATCCCTTTGGTTAGTGGGGATCAGCTGTCCCAGCTGCCTCCCCTCTCAACTTCTGGTGCACCCCCAGCCTACTCGCTGGTGCGGCAGGGTGAGAAACCAAAAAGGCCTTGACGCTGTGTAAGCACTGCTCAGCAATAACTAAAACATCGCTGTGTTATCAACAGTATTTTCAGCACAAATCCAAAACATAGCACCATACCAGCTACTATGAAGAAAATTAACTCTACCCCAGCCCAAACCAGCACATTCTCCACCCCTTATTCCCTACCGTTTATGTCACACTCAGGTCACACAGAATACATCCTTATTAACCACCACCCCTCTTCCCAGCCTTTGATATATACACAGAGATATCATTCCCTTAGTTTGTTGACCATTCCCCTGTAAAATGTCCATAAAATGTTCACTGAGTTTATTTAGTTTACAACTTTGGGCTCTATCTGTTACGGTGGTCACTCAGGACCGGAGAGGTGGTGTGTTGCATAGAGTTATTGGGCATCAAAGCCAGCTCAGGTTGGGTCACTGCTGCACTTACACTGCTTCTTGTAAGGCTCATCCTCCATGGGTTCAGGTGGTTCCTGCTATAGTACTTCCTGTAACATGCAACTCCAGTCATGGGTTACAACACTTTAAAGGTATTTCCATTACAATCTCCACTCCTGGTCTCTTTGGACCAGACCATAGAGTTTAACACTGCAATGAACTCCTTCCCATTACCCTGTTCTGGCTTGGACTTATCCATGGACTGCAGTCCCATAGGGGTGTACCTGCTCCAACTGGAGCCTTATCTATGAGCCACAGTCTCACCAAGAATATACCTGCTGCAGCATCGACTTATCCACAGTAGTTTTGAGGCGCTCCTGCTCCAGCGTGGCCTTCTCCATGGGTCACAATCCCTTCAGAGATGTACCGGCTCCAGCATGGCCTTACCCATAGCCAGTGGCCCTTCAGGAGCGTATCTGCTCCAACAAGGCCCCACCCATGGCCACAGTCCCTTCAGGGGTGTACCTGCTGTGTTGTGGACTTATCCACAGCCACAGACGCTTCAAGGTGTGCCAGCATGGCCTCATGCACAGCCATTGACACTTCAAGGTGTACCTGCTGCAGCATGGACTTATCCATAGCCACAGATGCTTTGAGGTGTACCATCTCCTACATGGACTTACCCTTGGGCCACAGTCCCTTCAGAGGTATACCTGCTGCAGCACAGATATAACCATGGCCAACAGACACTTTGAGGCGTACCTGCTCTGGCATGAGCTTATGCACGGTCCCAGACACTTCAGGGTGTCCTGTTTCCATGTGGATTCATCCACAGGTCACAGTCCCTTCGACTCGAATTCACACTGGAGTTCTAGATTGTCCAGTACAGCAGCACAGAAACAGCAGCAATGCCCTGGCCATCTGCCAGCCCGGGCGCATCACCACTGCTGTTACCAAAATGTTCCCAGGCACAGCAGAGTAAGATGATAACCAGTGCAGCAAGCAGCAAAAGCAAGAAGCAGCCACTAATGAGCACCAGACTCTAACATACAGTAAGGCAAGCAAGCCCTGTGGTAAGCACAGGAGCTTGCCAGTTAATAGCTAAACAGCAATACAGCTGTAAATTAAATCTACCACATTCCAATCAAATCTGTTGATATCATGTGGTGAACACAACAGTAAGAAGATGGGGTGTCCAGTGAGAGAAAGGAAGAATTGTTCTTAGTTGCTCCAGTAGTTGCCCAGGAGACTGGGCTGAAACTCTGACTGTAGAAAGCTTAGGCTGCTTTATCCTCCCTGCTGCAGAAGGATTTGTGATGGCTTTGACAGTAAACAGATCAAGGAGTAGGGACAAAACTGGTTACAGAACCCTGTGGACTCTGGTATGTGAGTCTGATCTCTTTTATCACTGATGGAGGATAGAGAGACTCTGAGCCATTTGAATGGAAACTGCAACAAAGGATGTGAGATACTTTTCTTTCTGGCTGGAGCCCTGACCAATCTGGAGAAAACAAAAAGAAATGTAGTAAATAGAGCTCAAGGAGAACACGTCCTGAATACCGCTGACACCGGCGGGCTGTTGCTAACCTAGGACATATCTTTCTTGACATCTCTGAAATTTTGACTTGGCCTGAGTTTGTGAAGAGAGGAAAGGAAGATAAGTCTTCTCTGGTTACCCCTGTGGCTGTAATATACTTAGTAAGAGATAAGCAGAGTTGCAGCTTTGCAGATGGTCTTAACATAAAATGAGACCGTTGGTGGAGAAGCTGTGTGCTTGCATGTAGGTTTGTATGTGTAGGTGCTCAACACTTGCTTAGCTGCTGCAGAGGCGAGGTTTAGCTGAGTACAACTTGCATGCAGTCAGCTGATGTGCACTGTGGAAACTCAGTTATCAGGATAGCTACAAATACCAGCTAAAGTCAGTATGGTTCTCTGCTCGCTGGTCTTTTGATAAAGCAGCTGGGTTACCACAATGAATTAGAAGTAATTCTGTTAGCCTCCAAATTGCTTATTCTTCCAGCTCTTGTCTCCGAGTTCATTTGCGTTGCGTGTCAGCTCTGCAGAGTCCAGACTCTGTTGTGACCAAACATGACAACAGATGGAAGGAATGGGGCTGTGTCTGTAAACATGACGGGAGCAGTTTCACGGTGCTGTGCCAGCAGAATCACTGCCTGCACCCTGCAGGTGTCATTTTGCAGAAACCGCCCCAGGCAGTGGTTTACAGGAGTTCATCTCCTGCACCAGGAACGGGCGAGAGGCAGCAAGGTAGTAGTAGAAAAGCTGCACCAGGGAGGGAGTGCAGTGACATGGCATTTCCTTTTCTGCGTAAAGCTAGATAACTTCTAGCTTTATGCAGAATATATAACATTCTATTGTTCTATGTCTATGTTAGAAATATAACATTCTATATGCCAGTGTGATGAGACTGAAAAGCTTCATTTTTTTTATTACTGAAGTTTATGTGAGGGTTTGGCCCTGGCTCCTTCAATAGCTGGTTCAGATGAGAAATGAGGCTCACAAAGCTTGAGATGTGGTCAGTCATGGGTAGAAGCAGTGAATGAACAACAAAGATCAGGATCATGTTCCAGCTTTGTGGAAGCTGTGGACTTCCCTGTTCTCTACCCTCTCTTCCTCCCTGTACTTGCAAAGCTGTCTAACTCAGCCTTAGACAGGTATTCTTCTGGCCTGGGGTCTGGGCAATCGCCCTATCTTGTCAGCCTTAAACCTGGTCTGTGTGCACAAGGCACTAGAACAAAGCTAATAAATCTGGCTGAGATTCATTGGTGCCCTCAGAACAGCTGAGGTTTGTGGACACTTGTGCAGGCTTAACCGCGCCCCCAAAAAAGGCCCCCAACCCCCAGAGGAGTTTTGTACATTGGCTTCTGTGTTTTACCTTCTCTGTAATGTATTAATGCCCCAATTCTAAGCCCAGCTTGCTGGCTGAGAGATAGAGATCTGTGTAACTGATATCCAAAACGAATAAAAGTTTGAATAGCTAATGGGGAGAAAAAAAAAGAAAAAGAAAAAACCCCAAACAAACAACTTAGTTTGGGATTGGAAGCGTTGTGAAGAGTATAGAGAGGCCTAACAGCTCGGTAACCTGGGCACGTGAAACGCACAAGCACAGGGCAGCGTGCCTAGCAAAGGTGCTCCTGCACTACCTTCTGCCCTTATGTCAGCTGACGTCTCACAGGAATATCATTAACATCTCATTGCGGACATTTACCAAATTGAATGACTGTAGTAACTGGAAAAGGTCTCCAGATGTTATACAGTTTGGAATAGCATCTTCTGTACAGGAACAATTTTGAAACATGAATTTCTGCTGAGCGTGGAGGAGTGAGGTGGGTCTGCAATACCTGTGGTTCCTTTGAAATTTTGGGTGCATAGTAGTTATTCAGCTACTATGTATAGTAGTATAGTGTATATATAGAATATATAGTATTCAGTCTATTCAGAATATAAATTAAGAAATGGTGAAGAGCCACAGTTATGTTTAGTGTCCTAATACTGGCAGTATGTCATCAAATGAAAGATTAAACTCAAGGCCTCCCATGTGATGGGACCAGTAAGATGTGTTTAAAGAGCTTAGTATGAGAGAGCTGTGTTCTGTGGGCTGTGCTCTCTGGATTATGCAAAGAGGTAAATGAGTGTGAGGCTTAGATCTCAGGTTTGTAATAACTTCTATGCTTCAAGTAGCAATAACTGCTCAAGCTCAAATATTTTGTCTTTATTCTTTTTTTGTAGCTCTTGGTGGAACACTTTAAAATTCTTATAGTGAAAATGAAAGTTGCTCAAAATTAGCTTCAGTTCTGTGTGATCATCCTAGGAAGGTTGTCGCTTATTAGTATGAGAGAAAATTTCTTCTGATTTATTTCATCCTGTAAGACATGATACCTAAATACTAGGATACAGTTTATTTGAAATGGAGTGACCTCACTTTATACAACATGAATGAACTTCCTATTGCATGTCTCTCAGATTTGGTTTTATAAAAAAAAGATTGATACTTGCAAGAGTGATAACAGCATCTATAGTTGCACTAGAGAGATGATGGAAGACAGAGCTGAGGGTCAAGTAGGATCTGCCCTGCATGCCATGTTTTTTCAGTTACACAGGCTGCATTGCAGATGTTTGCTTCTTCCTCCTGAACACGTTGGTGCTGGTGAGTTCCTGCCGCATGTCATATTGCTGGCTGAAGGGTACTGGGTGTTTCTTTCATCTCTGCTCAAGTGCTAAGTTAGGAATAGGCCCAGACAACTTTGCAGATGGAAAATACCTTGGCTTGTACTGGTTTGTCATTGTCCTAGGAAGCAAGACACCAATACTGTAAGTGTGAGGAACATTTTGGGAATGTGATTTTGGGCTCTAGGAATGTAAGAACAGAACTCCTCCCCTCTATTTGGTAGAGAAACAAAAGAACATAGGGCTTTATGTCTGTAATCTCACATGAACATGACCAGAGCTGGTCATGCTCCAGCCAGCACCAGAGAGCTGCCAAGAGCCCCATCAAAGTGTGGAGCTCGCGTGACTTGAACACAGCAGTTACTTCTGCCTCTGTAGTGTTTGTACTGTAATTCTGGGCAGCAATTGCACCTTGTCACAGAGACGCTAGCTCAGATAGAGTAATCAGCCAAGCTGCCAGACTCCTGCCAGAACTCCTGAGCAGTTACAACAGCAGACGTGTTCTGCTCTCATGCAACGCTTCCTGCATTTATACGTCGGCCCTGGCTTCCCTGGCTTCCTTTGAGTAGAACAAAATGGACCCAAAGTCTGGCTCCAAGCTCAAAAAGCTATTTTGCTGCCTCTTCAACCTTCATAGCCTGCCAATCTTTGTTCAGATCCCTCAATCAGGTAGAAAAAACCAACCATTCCCTTTGTATTTTTGCTTCTGAAGTATGGCAGCAGGAAGAAGGTCTCTAACACTCATGTACGGATGCCCTCCCTCTCTGCCCCAACTGTGGTGTTATAGACCTTGGACAAACCTCCATGAACACGTGCTGAACTGGCATGTTTGTGACAGACTGAGGTGTCCACGCATGACATGAAACAGTTCCAGAATCTGTTCCCCAGAACTAGCCAAAGGGGTTTGTGTGTATCATGTCCCATACATACCTGCTATCACAGAAGGTGTAGAGATGAACAGCAAGCAGGATGAGGAGTCCCAGGAGACTAGCAAGGCTGATGACACAGTGGAGAAACCATGTACCATTCTCTAAAGAGAAACAATTGATCTTTTAGGTAAATCTCACAGACCGTTTGTTTACCCTGTGCCTCTGTCAGGATGGCATCTTCTAGACAATGCTGTCTTTGTTCTGTACTTTGGAGGATGAGCTAAGGTAGCTGGAATACAGCACCGGCCACAGAACTGGGTATAAGCAAGCCCCCCGCCCTGCCCTTGATGAAGCAGCTGTGTCTTTTGCTGTATGGGCACTAATTAGATCCTCCTCCCCACCACTTTCCGTAGTCCAGCTGCAGGTCTTGCCTGTGCATCCCAGCAAATTTCAGCTCTGATTCTCTTCCAGCCAAGCACTTCACTGAAGTACATACGGTTGCATACAATGTCCCAGCAACATCTTCAACTTCACCACCTAGAGCCTTCACCTACCAGCCAGTCTTTGGAAGGTGTAAATTGGCTTTCGGTCTTCCTGTCACAACCTATGTGTAACCCAACAATGAGCAAGATATAATGGTACCACTGGATTACAATACATAGATCTGGGTGATCACACCATTGACATCTTTGTGTGTCATGAACTTCTGAATAATCTTGCCTTTCAATTTAGTCCTGTCTGTGGAAGGGAAGACCACTACACCCATCTCCTCTCCTAGAATTTCACAAAGGACTTTACAGTTCTGACAGCACTTTTGTTTATCCTTCTCCCTCCTGACAAATTTCTCACTGGAAACTTCAGCTCAGCTGCATGGTTCCTGCTGCAATCTTGCCAGTGCCACTGACGATTGTCTTTGTGCATGAATAGAGGGCTAAACGGGGTTTTGAATGCTGAAGGCACAAAGGCAAGCATACCTGAGGGATAACAGGCTATGGACTTGCTCTGGTTCCCAGCTGGGTGGGACGCAATGCAGGTTGTATTAGTCACATTGGTGCTGTATGCTGTGAACTTGCTGAGAACAGTCACTGTCCCGTTGTCATGGCCTTCTTCCTTGGGGGTGGAGTTGCTCTCTCGGACCCAAGAGATCTGAGCAGCCGGCTTCCCTGCCGCTGCCTCGCACACAGGGTTCCCGCGGTCATCACAGTACAGGGTCAGCCTGGGGGGCACTGCAAAGCGTCAGGAAGGGGAGATGCATGGAGTTAGTTTGCCACAGTTGGGATAGGATGTTCTTGCTCTCTGCCCAACATGAACACAGTGAAAAGAGGAGAATAAGGTTGGAGGTGCTCTCCCATTACAGCGACATGGGCCAAAGTCTCAAGAGAAAAGATCGTGCCTCTTTTTTCCGTTTGGACAGCTCTCCCCCATTCAGGTGAGTTACCACAGCCACGTACCGACAGAGGAGGTATGCCTGCACACTGTGGTAGGGAATTATCCCAAATACAGGGCTGAACTAGACTTTCGTACTATGTGGCCATCGTACAGGTGGTTTAAAACATATTTGAATACCAGCATAAGAGGAAATGGGTCTGTTCTTACCGTCTGGATAACAACATCCCATGTTTGGTAGAATATCTCAGCCCCTGGAAGTGTTGATCTCACAGGCTTTAGTTCTCTTAAGTTACTGTATTAATGATTTGATTCTACAGGATAGCCGGAAGCACATGCAGAATCCTCTGTTAGTATATTGGATTAGTATATCCCCCGGTGCATGGGGAGAGGAGGCTTTGTATGTCCAGGCCCAGACACCAGCCTTTGGAGAGCTGTAAAATGAGGAGGGAGTCCCTTACCCAGCACGGTCAGGTCGTACGTCTTGTGGAAATTCCCTTCTGTCGCTACCACTTCGCAGGTGTAATTTCCCTCATGGGCTATTCCCACTCGCCGTATCTCAAGGGCAGGGTCCCGATCTGGTCTGAATTTCCAGTTCATGCTGTCGCTGCAGTTTGTTCTGTCCGTCTTGTTCTGATCAGCCCTGTATCCCAAGGCACAGGGGCCTCCAACCTTTGGGCTTATTTTCCATGTTACCATAGTTGCGTTGGATGGGGGCGGGCAGGAGAGCACAGAGTTGTTACCTACTGTCGCTGACACTCTGTTGTTCCCTGAAGGAGAGAAAGGAGGAGAAGGACGTGTGAGAAGGTGCCCAGGGATGTCACTCATAGCCTTGGAGTTCTGGTCTGTGCTTCACAGAGAAACGTCTGCACTGTCACACACCAGCATCAGGCCCTGTCAGTGCCAGCCCAAGAGCAGCGTCTCTCTTCTTAGGTGGGAATAGATCTCCAAATTCATGGCTGTGCTTGCATACATTGGTCCTTGTTTCACTCTCTCTCTCCATAAGGTCCTCTCCCTAGGACAGTGAATAAATAACATGACTGTGAAGCAGAATCCGAACGAGCTGCAGAGCCCATCTGTATGGGGAGATCTCTCACGTTGCTTTTCCCTCAGCATCACTGCCCAGTACAACAGAAAAATAAATGTTTGGAGACATTCACCCCACTTTTGTGCTTATCAGGTCAAGCACAGGTGGCAATTTCTGCTCTGCCGCTGCAAAGCTTATATGAACCAATTTCCCTGGTTATAGTGGTGACAGATGAAATAGTAGAGGAGTATGACATTTAACTGGAAAGAAAACACATTCCTGACCCTGACAGACTCAAGATCACTGTCTTGTGACCTGCATCAGCTCTCCTAACAAAACAAACAGAAAAACCCCGAACAAAAATGTGCATAATTAATGTAGGGTAGGGAGGAGAAGCTTTATAGCTGCATTTTCAGATCCCACATTTTTTAATTTGTTTTTCTAAGTATTTAACTAAGTTTGGAAAGGGGAAAGAACTTTCCCATTAAGTCTTATTAAAATTTTCATCGAATTTAGTGTCCTAAAATCCCAGTATACTTCTTTTGTCATAAGTCACTGATACCTAAGAGTAAAGCTTGATAGGGTGCTCAGACTGATCAGAAAACCTCCCATCAAACATGTTTTTAATAAATCTGTTAATTATCATGAAAAATATCACACTCCAAAAAAATCCTTACCAGTTTTCATCAAATCATTGAAAAGTCCAAGTTCAACATCTTATTTGTTGACGACTGAAAAGATCAAGTTGCAGCTAGAAACGTTTTGATTTGCACGTTATTGGTTTTGCACCAAAAATTCCTTTTGAGAATTTGCAAAGATCCAATCCCTAGATTCTTTTCTTTCTCAAAGAAGAACTGAGTAAACATCACTCTGATACACTGCCTTTTTCTCCTCTGCCCTTAACAGAGAGTTGGTACCAAAGTACTGTCAGAAGTACCTGTAGCTTCTGTGACCGCAGTGATGGTGAGCAGAACAATGGTGTACGTGGTCTTCCTGGCAACTTTCAAAGTAGCTCTTGCGTTTGTGGGTGATGTGGGTTTCTTGCACCATCCAGCTTGCTGTGAGCTCCCCATCCTCCCCTGCCAGTGATCCTCAGCAGCCGGAGTCACTGCTCCTCCTGTGCTCCTGAGGGCCCTGCGGTGCAGCCACAAAGAGGTGGTTCTTCTTCTTGCTAGCATGAAGCTTCCTGTGCTGAAAATTGGTGAACATAGAGGAAATGGTATTGGTATTTGCTTTCTGACCATTGGCCTTCGGTACAGTGTTACTGTGGGAAGACAAACTCTATAGCAGAACTTGCACAAAGTCTAAGCAGTGTGATTTTTCATGTCTGGTTCTGATCTCGCAGTGAAAATTTTATCATTGGGAATTGGGGGAAGGATATTCTTAGCTTACCGCTCAACATATTCCAAAAAATTTCCTAAATTCCTCTTCCTCGCCACTCTATCCTTCCCCACATACCTAACAGCCCAAGACCTTTTCTCTAAAAGGCACTGGCAGTCACTTCTCTCCTGCAGGGAGGGCAGGTAGGTAGGTACATTGTACATTTATTTTACAGTTCTATTTCTCTGATAAAAGCACATCTACAGACAGGCCAAGGTTGCTTTTTTTGCAGCACTGTTTTGCTTGTTTTTCAAGCTGTTCTGGTACTATATTCCCCACATACATACACAAGTGAACACTGAAGGATGCTCCAGTTGTGAGCTGCAGGATTTTTTTTAGAGCCAGAAGAGTCCCTTAATTTTTACAAGACATTTCCCCAAGCTACTACTGCCTGTCTTCCCATGTGATTAAGACTGCTGTCTTATACCAGCAAAGACAGCTTCCCTAGATATAAGATGAGCTTCCCTGGAAACTAATGCACTGAATTTAGTTTTATCAGAAAAATGTTAGCCTCCCCAAAATTTGAAGCCACTAGGCTGAAATGAGTTAGTGACTATTTGCCTGTTCTAAGAATGAAACTCTCCCCCCGCAATTACTGTCACAGCAGATTTATGTATTTCCATGGCTGGACTGAAGGGTGCCTGGAAGGTCTTCAGTTCCGCAGTCAAACAGATGCAAGACAACCACAAATGGAGGGATTCACTGGCAGGCAGGCAACCGTGTGTCCCCCACTACCCCCCAAATAGTGGGTGCCATTTAACTGAGAAGAGGCATAGCACCCATTAGTGACTCAAAGGAAAAGCTGGGTAAGTTCAAAAAGAAAGTTAGGCAACCTGTGTTCACAGTTCTTATATTCAGAAAAGCCAACAGCAGCATTATAATTAAATCTTCGTCTCTGCTGGCTGTTGTTGCTGCAGTTACACTTTCTGAAAGTCACTCTGTCAAACAATTTCAGACAACTACCTTGGTCAATGCAGCTTCTGCTTAAGTGCTGTGTGGTTTGGCGGTTAAGTGCAACAACCATTTCTCATGTTTAGAGACAGATCCAAGATGCAAAGATCATATTTAGATCCCTGCAGTGTGAGACACACCATAGGTTCATAGAATCTGTGGGTGACGTAGCTTCATGAAAATCAGAAGCTTTCAGGGTCCTAATCACTTGGTGTTTAATTGGGAGCAATGCACCCAGGCACCTGGAATGATCTAGGGTCGTTTTAGAAACCAAGGAAAACTCCTGATAAATGGAAAGGGCGCATTCCCTACAGCGTGTGATGCAACCCAGTCCAGTTATCTTTGGGGTGAGGCCTAATGTTTTGGGGCTTGGGTTTTTTATTTGCTAAAGATTCTGCTTGCTCCCTGATAGTGAAGGTGATGGCTGAAAAATCATGTCCATATTTCTTTAATTAGCTTTTTGGTTTTTGAGTCTTTGGGTTACAGTCTGGCCACAGCACAACTTACTGCATGACTGAAGAGTTGGAAGGTTGTATATGGGTGATTTGGCAGGGGAAGGATTGACGGCTAGTTTTTATTTTTAGAAACCCAAACTCTCAGTTTGATGCTACAGCTGGAACCAGAGAGCGTGCTAATATCATGGCGAGAGCACCACTGTGGTGCCCCAGGCAGCTGATCCAAACAACTGAGCTGCTGGACCTGGTTGTTCTCCATCCACCTCCAGCACAGCCCTGGAGCTGGTTTTAAGTGTCATCTCAGAAGACTTCAGAAGACTCAGATTTTGAGACCTGGTTTTACTTGAAGTTACAGAGTACCATGAACAGCTGCATGATACCCTGTTTCCTTTGTCATTTCTCGCTTGCTGTCGTGGTTTCGGCTGGAATAGAGTTAATTTTCTTCCTAGTAGCTGGCATAGTGCTGTGTTTTGGATTTAGTATGAGAATAATGTTGATAACACGCTGATGTTTTAGTTGTTGCTAAGCAGTATTTATATTCAGTCAAGGACTTTTCTGCTTCCCATATTCTGCCAATGAGGAGGTGCACACAAAAGGCTGGGAGGGAGCACAGCCAGGACAGCTGACCCAAAGTGGCCAAAGGGGTACTCCCTACCACATAATGTCATGCTCGGTATATAAACTCGGGCGGGCTGGCAGAGGGGTGGTGACTGTGGCTC